CAAACACATTACCACCCAAACTCTTTAACATGTTGTCAGTAAAACAACAAATTTTTGTCTCTTGTAAATATATAATTTCAAATTTGTTCAATTGACAGAAATCCTTAATTACAAATCTTTTTGAACTCAAACCCAAACCTCTAACATTCCATGTAACTAACATTTGAGAGTATCAACACTCCTCAAAAACAAACCAGAGTCTACTCAGAGGTAGCTCTTTCTTGTTCCATCAGCCTCACTTTTTTAATAGGGTCAAAATCCTCCTGAGGCTCAAGAATAATAGCACATTTAGAAGTAATTTTTTGCAGCTGCTTATTAGAGCAAGTATCAAATAAAATAGGAACAAAATTAGATCCTAGAGAAGAGGAATTTTCACCTGAACCACTAGAAGAAGCCTCTGGAATAAAATTTTTAATATTTTTCATTACAGCTCTTGAAGTGGCCCTATCCAAAGCAGTCATAGGTTCCATATCCACAAATCTTGAACATCTTCTGACAAATGTGACTTTTGGATAAGTATCAAAATCTGTAGGTGGCAAAGAATTTAGAGGCTGAATTATAGGAATGTCATCTTCCTTCTCTTGATTGTCTTCATTGTTGGAATAAGCTGGAAGAGCCAACCATTTCTCAACTTCATTAATATTCTCAATCATGGTAAACTTGTCTGTAGATCCCTCCTGTACAATCACCTCTTTTCCTTTGTGAATCACCTTATCCTCCCTAATGGGAGACACATTAATCTCCTTTTCAACTTCTTTATCTTTATCTTCCTCACTATCTATCAATATTTCAGCAGAATCTTCTATCTCAGTCATCATCATCTATTCTGGATGTTGTTCATCAGTATTATCTTTTGAAATACTTTCTCCCCAAGCCCCCCATTCAGATTTCTGTTTTTGATAGAAAATTTTCGCATCAGTCCATAATCTAGTAGCAGGAGAGCTCCATGGATTATCTCTCAAATCTTGTTTAACATTCCATGAATTAGACTCAGAATCTTTCAAGGAAGAAGAACCAGTTCCACTATCTCTTCTACCTTTAAACCACTTATCATGATAAGAACTTTGATTGTTGTCTTCCAATTGGTCCACTTTCTATTTTTTCTTTTCTCCTTCATCAATTTCCCCCATTATAGACATAACAGAAACCTCAATGTTGTACTGCTTTTTTCTAACAAAAACCTTTAATTTTTTAGGTATATCAATGTATTCTAAACAACTGACCAGCAACACAGGATCCACAAATTCAGTACAGGCATTAGTTAATGAGTCCAACTCAACAAGATCAGCAAAAGGTTTAACCATCTGAGCAAAAGATTCTTTATTCCATAAGTGAGGAGGAATATTTTTCAGTTTAATCCACACATAAGATTTTCTTTTTTCTACCACATTTCCTTCCCAGGCACTCCATCTTCTAAGTTTTATCTTACAAGATCTCAGAGATATTACCCCCATTCTTATCAAATCATCCATCACTCCATCTTCTAAGTTTTATCTTACAAGATCTCAGAGATATTACCCCCATTCTTATCAAATCATCCATCTGTTTCCACGGTTGTATTTTAACCAATAGATCTCAGAGATATTACCCCCATTCTTATCAAATCATCCATCTGTTTCCACGGTTGTATTTTAACCAATACTTCTCCATTGGTAAATAACCTCACATCCCAATGCTTATTCATAGGAAAATAAGCTCTCAAATCTAACTCCAATCTCTCAAGAGAAATATTACCACATTCAACAAAAGAAACTATAGCAAAGTTTCTAAACTTCTGAAAATCAGAATTAATTTCTCCTTCAAAATTTAAAACAGCAGAAGAGAAACGAGGACGATCACCTGAGATTTTTAGTTCAGCTTCTAGATCTCCAACATCTCTCGGCCCTTGATCTTGAAACATTAAAACATTCTCATGAATTTTTTCTTCATCAACCGAGTCCAGTGTTCTTTTACCCTTTTCTTGCTGAGCATTTTCTGAAGGAAGATCTTGCTTATTTGAAGAAGAAAACTACGCCATTGCCAAGGATTAGGATGATCAAATCTTCCCCCTCGACTAGAGTTCTGCCCAGATCTACCTCTATTACTTCGACCTCCAAGATTACCAAAACCTCCAGTACTTCGACCTCCAAAAAAGCCACGTCCTCCATTACTAGATCCTCTTCCTCCATATTCTCAACCTCTGTTATCAGATCTATCATTTCTTCTATCATTTACCCTACAATTTCTCGCCTCATGACCCATTTCTTGACATTGAAAGCAAACGATCGGATCTCTGCAATCTTTCGCCATATGATTCGCTCCTCCACAATGAAAACACAATCGCTTTCTTCGAATGAGATCTGCAGAAAGAAAAGAGGGAGGAGCAAGAAATTTCTGGAGAGGAGGCGATTTAGGTTTTCTCTTAACAACGCTCACCCAATCTCCTTTATCAACATCAACCTTTAATTTCTCTTGAGATCTCCACAATGGATCAATCCCCACCGCAAATTTTAACCCAAACTCATCAGATTTTAACCCAGGTTTATCAACTCTAGTTTTCTCACACATAGGCTGAGGATCAGAATTAACCCTAGTTACATCATAAACCCTAGTTTCTTTGGACTGAGAAAAACTGGGCTTGGGCTTTGAAACAAAAAAAGAATCAGAGATTAAAGATGAAATAATTTCCCCCCAAATCTTTTGAGCCACAAAATTTGTTGTCTCAATTAGCCCAATCAATTTTTTCGAATTCTCCCCAAAAATCACCATTTCAAGCCCAAAAGAAAAAGACCAAAAGGAGAAAAAGATAAATCAACAAGAAAACACAAAAAAAATTCCCCTGGATCAAACCTTGATTGATCAGAAGAAGCTTGGTGATCAAGAACAAAAAAAAATTCCCCTGGATCAAACCTTGATTGATCAGAAGAAGCTTGAGAAAGCTTCAGTGATTGCTCTTGATCTCTCGTTCTAAAGCTTCAAAGGGGTTTGGAATCTTTAGACTTTTGGTTTCTTGGGATTATACTTTTGCAAATTATTCAACCAGGGAAACAAATAAAGACTTTTGTACAAATGTAGTTACAGAAAGGGTTGTTTGGTTCGCAAAATTTTTATGGATTTGGGGTGGGAAGGCAAGAAACATAACAAAAGGTGCATCTTGTTGCATAATACAATTTCTAATATGTTTTGTTAAAAAAATTGTAAGAAATGGTTTCTATAAAATGCAACATCAGCAACAATAGGGAAAAAAAATACACACGTACAAAAAAAAAAAAATACTAAGATTTGCTAAATCCTCTATTTTGGAGAGGAATTAGGGTGAAAAGTTGACAACGCACAACCATGTCACCACTCACCCAAAGATTAGGTATGGTTACCCCTTTCTAATAGTAGCAATCTCTACATTATGCGGGTGGTAGGCTCACCAAAGATAATTGTAAACAAGTTTTTTTAACCAAACAAGAGATTATATATTCTAAAATTTGTTTTCGTATCATCTTGATGAACGAAACACAAAATTAGCAATTCTAAAATATGCATGAGAAACGGTGAATGTAATTTCTTGAGAGGGATTTTTCTTCCTATATTTTTAGGAAATGAATCAAATAGCCCCAAAATGAGTCACTATTTGTAATATAGAGACTTGTAGTTGTAGTCACTTTGATTCTAAGTCATTTTTGAGAAAGATAAAATATACATGTACATCATCATATCATCATATAAGTAAAAAGATATAACGTCTTCTTTTTGAAAGGAAGCTTGACATTATATCGGAGGGTGTATTATATATATATATATATATATATATACTATATATATATATATATTATATATATATATATATATATATATATATATATATATATATATATAAGTATGCTTGGTCAGCACAAAAAGTTGTGCTTTGCTAGTGAGGTGTCAAATCGCTCCCCTCATTAAATGTTGGAACAAATTCACCATGTGATCTGTGAGTGGATGGAGGATGTGACAGCATCACTACCAAGCCACAAATTTTATGCTTGGTACCAAGCATACCCATATTTCTCATATATTATATTTATTATGAGGAATATGGGTATACTTGGGCCAAGGATCGCTGGTAGTGATGTGGACACATCTTGTCCACATCACACTTGAAGTATGGTGAGGCTCATTTCTTCAAGGTGTGAGTATGGAAGATTGTTCCACATCACTACAAGGATCCTTGGTAGAAGATTACCCATTTTTCTCATATATATAATATATATATATATATATATATATATATATATATATATATATATATATATATATATATATTATATATATATATTATATATATATATATATATATATGAGAAGTAAATTACAAGAAACCTTCCTTCTTTATATTCTTTCTTTCATCATCGATGTTGAATTTCGCTGAACTTGGAATATTTTTCTGGACAAACAAATTTTTCTTGGATACCAAATTACAATAAGGTAAAATTTTGTGTATTTCTGAGGAAAAATAAACTTTACTATACCAGAGTTAAATATAGAATAAAGTTTGGGCATTTAAGTGCAAATAATCTTTTTGAATAGAGGCGGAAAAAAAATTTCCTGTAAATTGTCATTTGCATAATCATATACATCGAGCAAAGATCTGAACTTCAAACAAATTTGCTCTTTCCGCTCTCTTCGTGGGGGATTAAATGCCCGGACAAATTTTCAAAACCAACCTATTTGGACTTTTATTCCCAAAAAAAGACCCGTTTCACATTTATTTAGAGAAACCGACCTGGTTTCAGCCTCAGCGCTGAAACCAGGTCGGTTTTTGAAAAAAACTCTTCGAAACTTCACGGGAGTTGAACTCCCGTTTTTTTAAACTACGAAACTTCACGGGAGTTCAACTCCCGTGAAGTTTCGGAGAGTTTTTTTCAAAAACCGACCTGGTTTCAGCACTGAGGCTAAAACCAGGTCGGTTTTTGCAATTATTTTTGAATGGGGTCGTTTTTTGGGAATAAAAGTCCAAATAGGTTGGTTTAGAAAATTTGTCCTTAAATGCCCCCTTTCATCCCCGCTCTCCCCTCTCTCTTGCCCACCGATTTCAGAACTCCGATGACGAGGCTGTCCAAAATTTTCCCATCCCGCAAAAATCCTCGCCCAATTCAATCAAAACCCTCTTCTTCTTCTTCTTCTCCCGTTACTCCAATTGATATCAACAGCAAACAGAAAGGAAAAAGCTTAGCACTTGCTTCATCTCCATCGTCCCCTCCAAAACCTGAGATCAAGAGGCGGGGAGCTTCGCAGTGGTCTGTGTATCTTATCATCTCCACGCGATTGCCCAAGACTTATGTTGGAGTCACCACTGACTTCTCTCGCCGGTAATACCCTCTGATTTCATTTATTTATGGTTGCGTGATAGCAAATTGAATCGTTTTTGGGCAATTTGAATGAGCCCAGATGAAAATTTTGAGGGAAATTTAACACCTATTTGATTTTTCGATCAGCATTGAAGATTACGCCATTGTATGATATGACTGTTGATATGCTCAATTTCCAATTTTTTTTAATTACCATTTTTCATTGCATCAGGATTTCCTAATGATTTAATGTTGTTCTTTGATGATGCTGTGAGTGTCATGTGTAGTGGATAATTTGTGGTTAAGCTCTCAGGTGAAAATTTGAGCAAAGCATTAATACTCATGGGCTATTTGTTAGAGATTTGGCCATTGAAGATTGTTGAGCTGCTTATGCCGTCACCCTTTTGCTCCAATGTTACAAATATATCTATTTAGTTGCAATTAACCTGTGGACCTTTTCCCGCAGACCTAACTGAAATCACGAGAACTTAAACTAATCTATAATTATTATCGTTTATATTATTTCCCTTATCAGCACAACATTATTCCTGAATGATTTGGTGAGATTGATGTTTGATGGACAATAGGTGATTAATCCAGGTGAAAATTTAAGGTTATTGTGAGACACATTCCTGTTTAATCAGCGGATATGGCCATTAAGAGATTTTTGAGCTGTTGAATTCCTTCATCCTCTTTCTCAGATAAAATACTGCATCAATTATTAGAAATAGGCCAGGTATTGTGGCATTTATACGGAAAAATGATCAGAGTTGTAGAGCAACCTCTTGTTGAATGATGTGAGGACTACAAACTGAAATTGTGAAACCATTCCTTCATCAATGATTCTTATCTTGCTTCTCTTCGTAGTTTGTTCCTAAAAACAACTATCATATTTGTATACCAATTTAGACACAAGATTACGGCGGTAATGAATTTTCTCAGAATCATTCATCTTGTAATTGATAATAATACTTTCAACAGTCTGAAACAACACAATGGTGAATTAAAAGGTGGAGCTNTTCTTGCATGCATTATTCGAGGATTTAAAGACCAAAGTGAAGGTGATTCATAACTCTCTCTTTAGTTTGGAAGTCTTTGAATGGTTAGTCCATCCTTTTAAGTTCATTAGTTCTGCTTGAAATTGTTGGAAGATCGTTGAATGACATGGAATCTGGCAGGTCATCACTCACAATGAGGTATTTTTAGGATATTTCTATCGTGTCTAAACCCCTTAATAAATACGACATATTTATTCTTTTGTCATCTTACACCAGAAGCATGAAAAGGTATGGTCGACAATATGGACTTTGGTTATCGGCTCTTGCAATTCAAGGCCCTTTTACATATTAGTATTAATTTTAATATGTTAAACGGCATAGATGTATTCTATTAATGACTACAATTAGGAATTATTGTGGTAACACATTTGTTATTGTTGTCTAATTTAAGCCCATCAATTAATATAACAAGTTAACTTTTTGTTTTCTTGCATTAAAGGTTGAAAGATCTGATAAATGCTATGAATTTGGGTACAAGTTTTTGATGGATGACCAAATGTAACCGATGGGCCACTCCCAACTTAGCTTTAGTTATTGTTCTGTTGAGTAGATATATTTATCTGGTATATAACAATTTTGTTGTGGGGAGAAGCTGCAGTGTTATCTGCAATGCTCCATCCTTTTTGATTGAAGCAATTTTTTTTTTACAATATGGTCGATTTGACGTTCTTGAAAACTGTAATCTCAAGAATGAAACAATAGTAAGGATCTGGCTATCAGACAATATAGAGTTATTGAAAGATATAGAATGGTGCTGAATTTAGTGATATGTTAATTATTATAACATGAATCTTTGATTGCAAATTTTGTTAGATAAAATCACAAGTTTTAGTTGCACAAGTTTATTGTTTGCTGTATTGTTATTTTGTTTCTCAATGCTCACACTTTTTTTCTTGACTTCTTTATACTCATTGTGCAAGCTTTTTCTTGATAAATTTGTTTGTTTTATTATTCTTAGCTTGTGAGCTTGAATACAAATGGAAGAGCATATCCCGTAAGATGCCACGGAAAAGGAGCAAGGACCATCAAGCCTCAAATTTATTATTGCAGCACCGTGAAGCTGCTTTAAGTAAAGCTAAGCCATTGCTGGATTGCGACCATTTACAAATTGACTGGCAGTTGAGCACTTCTTGATTTATTCCCACAAAGGCAAGAAGTCATTCACATTATTTATCTTTATACATGATGTACATCAAAAGTAAAACTGTTTCAATATGTTGAATTATTGTTAATAACTCTTTTAAATTAGAGAGAAATTATTTTTAACATCTTCATGTAAGATAAAACGTGAATTTATATCAAACAGTGCTTGAGCTTGACATTTTTGTAATAGAAAAAAATAAAATTCAATAATTATTGATCCTTTGTATATCATGATGTTCTAACCTACTTCATGTTTCTATTTGTGACTGTTTTGTCTTTGTTTTTGTATCCGGTATGACTTATTATGAACTGCTTTAGAGTCATATGGCTTAATACATAGGTAAAAGTAAGGCTAGGAGATTTTAGAGAAAATGAATCGGTAGTGGTTATTTTGAGTTTTTAACCTAGACACTCCTTTAGCTTTCTGTGACACGCCGACACCATTTGTTTTTCCTTCTTTTTTTTTGAAGTAATTAAAACTGTTTGATGGAAGTCGTAGATGATATTTATGATTAGGGACCATCTTAAACGCCATGAGTTGATTCCTAAAATCCCATTTGGATGAGGCAGTTAGAGAGGGAGTTACTGCTCACTCTCTTCGACTTCATAGTTCATGCACCCAGGGTGGTTGATCACTATCCAAAATATTTTAGAATAACCACTATGAGTTCTCTTGTTTCTCAGAGGGTAAGGGAGTAAGTAAATTCACCATTTTGATGGAGTAAGGACATCCTCTCTTGAAACATAAATGGGAAGTGAGGTTATTTCTAGAAGCTTGCAGTTTCCATGAAATTAGGATATTAGGCAAATTGGATATCTCTCTATTGTATTGGAGGTGGGTCATCTTTTAGTTTCTATTCCAGATCGAAACATGGAAATAGTCGGTTTTATCCTTGGCAGTGGTCTAAAGTTTTAGCTATGGGTTTAGTGCTTTCTTTGTTGTTGAATCAGGAGTAGATTATCATCCCTCATTCATTCGTGATATAAATCTCATCGGTAATGCTGCTTACCATTTATCTTAATTGCATCAGCAACGATATAGCTGACATTCATTAACAGTTTGGTTGTAATTTATGGCAGTTAGGAGAACGTAATCAAGTTTTCGATATAACAGAAGAGTTTAAATTCTCTGACAACACTGTATATTGCTCCAAAATATCGAAAAAGTTGTTGAAATTTTGTGTCAATACATACCTTCTCATAAATAGGGAGGAAAGAAAATGCTAACTTGTTATCTTTAATCGCATCCATCAACAAGAAGAATGAAGCCTCAAAGATAGTATAAAGTTAAAAGTAATCATAGACAATTATAGTTGTATGTTTGTATGGTCCAAATGGCTGTATAAAAGAAAATGCAAATTTCAAGGTAAAATGGAAATTTCTGTATCTAAATGCACATTATTTACACAACATCAGATGCAAAGCACTCTATCATACTCTTCTCCTCTTGGAGCTTTGTTAGAGCTATCCAATGTATTTGTCTTATTCTTTCCCTCGATAGGTTCAGTATTCTCCCAATCTCCTCGCAAGATCTTGCTCTCTCACCATTCAAACCATAATGCAATTCAATAACACGCCTTTCCCTTGCATCTAGTGTGGCCAAAAGCTTACCCAAGTTGTTCAACATTAACTGTCTGTTTATAATAACTTCTGGTCTTACTTCATCTGAACCTGGAATTATGTCCTACATCAAGTAATACAAGTTGATAAAGTCTGAACATATAAAAGGTTAATTTCACAAACACCCCTTACTTTGGAGGTTTTGCACAAAACACCCCCTTGAACTATAGAAATCATAGAAAACTTACCTGAGCTTGTCTAACTAAGCATCATCACTGATAACGGTTACTTTAAGTTGTCACATGCTTCACGCATGATAATTTTTGGACAATTCTACTTCTGTCTACTAAATATAACTTCTATATTATCTTCCCTGGGTGAGGACAGGTAAAAAGTAAAACAAGTAGTTTATACTTTTGACTCTACCCATTAATTCCATTTTTGAGAATTTTCAATAGTTCAGCAAACTTTAGTATAATTTCGAAAGTTCACTGGGGTTTCATGCAAAACCCCAGGATTCAGGGAGTTGTGTGAAATTTACCCAAGAAAACATACTTGGTTAACTAATAATCTGATGTAATTGGTATATTACCTTCAATGTTAGTCCTTCCTTATTAAGACACCTATCAACAGAGACAGGTTGCCCGCTTTTTTCACATACAAGCTGCACAGTGGAAACACTAAGGTTAAGAAACTCTGCGATTTCTTCATAAGATGGTGACCTCCCTGATTTTCTTTGTAACAGAGCTTTAGCATCTATAACCTTTGCCATCGTCCCTCGCAAGCTTCCCTAGATAAATTTAATGACACATTGAAAACAATATTGTGATGAACCTTAATGTTCTGAGCTTTTTGCAAACTACATACCGGTAATCTCATGATGCCTGATTTTGTAGCTACAGCTTTGATGATGGCTTGCTTTATCCACCAGTATACATATGTTGACAGTTTGTATCCTTTTCTATGATCAAATCTTTGAGCTCCCTGAAGAAGCCCAATGCATCCTTCCTGAAAATAGTTCTATACTGTAAGCTTTCATGACTTATAAGACGCGTAAAGTTCTGAAAACAGTGTATAACCATGGGTTTTTGTTGGATTCATCTATATGGTTTTCTATTCAACCTTTCTAACTTCTAGACAAGTTCGTCATTTTTGGTTTTGTTTTGTTGTGTTTCCATCTTATACTATCATTATGGAAAATATCAGGTTTTTAAGCACCATCCATTGTGGTGTAGTTGTAGTCTCGTAGACAAAATGTTCAAGAGGAATTCTTCTCCTTTTAGTTTCAAACAGTTAAAGTTAGTGAATTATTCTACTATGCCGTGTTTAGACTTTGGAACGAGTTGACAGCAAGTGCTATTTTGGTCAATGGCTGTAATCTGAAACAATTTAACTTGATGCTCAATCTGAAATAGTTGAATAACAGCTTTAGTCCAATGGCAGTTGCTGTAAAGCTCACACCTAACGTATTGGTTACGATGCAAAAAGGAGCGTACGAGCCAAGTGAAGATAGACCCCAAATCTAACATCCATATAATTGCCTAAGCCGATGCTTGGGACTCATGTTAAGACTACGTTATCACTTGGATTGGACCTTGGGCATATTATCCACTACCTGAAAGTTTTAGAGGAACATGGGTTCAACCTGGATGAGATCCTGCAGACTCAGCCCTTTGCCTTGATATGGAGTTGCGATTGAGACAACAAGCCTTTTATAGCTCAGAGTGATCCTCTCTCTGCACTCCCTTGCTCTCAGGCAAGCTTTGTCAGCTTTCCCCCTCCTCTCAATTGCTTCGGCTGTTGTATTATTACTTATTGAGTCCGTATCCTCTAGCATAGCTCCAACCTGCAGGTATACCAAATTCGTTGAAGATCGTGCTTTTATCCAATAAGAAAATTTTATAAAATTTGATTGCATATGGTATTTGCCAATGTGGAAATTGGAAATGTGGAGAAATCAAAGCATAATGCAGATTTCATTATGTAGATGACAATTGGATGTTTACATAATGATGATGGCAGTTCACAAGGACTAATTATGTGTAAATCTAAACTATCATTTGGATATAGTTAGCAATAACTGTTTATAAGACATTCTTATTGTAACAAGGATGGATTACATGCTTTTCTATTAGAGGATGTTGTGCTATTTTTGGGATGTCTTCTACTTTGATGGTTCCAAACTGTGTGATATGGTCTTCAAATTCCCTATAAAAATGGTTTTTCCCCCCTATGAGTAATCACATGATTTTGATATTTTGCATGATTAATTTCTGTTGTAGGTTGCTGCTTAGATGGTGTAAAACAGCGTAATATCTTGTTAGTTTTGAAGAACAATACCCAAATGGGGCTTGCATAACTTGAAGAGCGATATCCAAATACCAATCTCCAATGAGACCCATTTAGTTTTTCACTGTTGTATTTATCAAAAAGGGTGAACGTATTTATCAAAAAGGGTGAACGGTACATAATGTTAATACCCTTCAATTATATTATAAAACTTGCTCACTCAAATATGTCTTCTAAGTATCTAACATTTGATAATCTGTTTAGGATTAAGGGATGAAATTGTTCCAAATACCTTGAGAGAGACCGAAAACTCAGCCTCTTGTCTCCGTGTCAGATACCGAGATCTCTCTGACTTCGACAAAGATCCCTTAACTACATTTCCACCTAAGCCTTCGTCATCTTCAAAATAGCTAAATACACCCATCATCCTCTTCCTCTTCCTCATTCTCCTCCTCCTCCGGCAACCATCTCCTCCTCCAATCTCAAGCTGTTCAAGCACAAGAGCAGAAGAAACTGCGTCTTTCGCAGCCTCAGCAGCTGCATTTGCAAGGCTAACAGCTTCGACGATGGCAGCAATAGTAAAAGAATCATCTGAAATTACCAAATTAGAACTTTGCTTAGAAGGAGATTGCGGTATTTGAACTGAAGTTTTTGAAGAGATAGAGTGAGTGAGAGGGAGAGAGAGGGTAGCCAATGATCGGTTAAGAGAACATGAAGGCATGGCTTACTTTTGGTGCAGAAGAGAGATGTTTGCTTAATGTTAGAGGGATATTATCCTTCAGTACTCTCTCCATGGCGCAAAGATATTTTGAAAATGGACAAGGTATTGATTTGTTTTCTTATGAGAGGAGAAGATAAGGCAATTTGGGTGGAGAATTTATGCACCTTTCCTTTTCATTCCATCTTCATATACCCAAAGAAGTCTATGCATGCGTTATGCAGAACTATCATGAAAATCGAGATAATGAAGATAAAATCTTGAATGAAGTAACAAATACATTATGGCCCCCCACCTTGCAAATAACAAGCCTATCTTAAGCTTTTATTGCTGATTAAGACTTGAAATTGGTTGGCATTCACTAATAATGCTTAAACTTTCCAGCTAATGCTCAGAATTGAATATACAATGGAAATAACCACGTAAGCTTACACTGTTACCTCATGTTGAAGATATTCATTTTAGATCGACAAAGTCACCCCAAGTAATAGGGATCCCATCAGAACCATTCCTAGAGGGGTGGGGATGATCTACCAACCCAACTCTCTAGCCACCTATAAATGGTATATAAATCGGAAAATGATAGGGACACACCACCAACCACAACCTTAACCACACTCCCTCTCTCATTCGCTATAGTGCACCGGGCCCCACATGGGATTTTAAAATTTTAAAATCCCATGTGGGGTCCAGTACACTGTAGCGAATGAGAAAGGGAGTGTGGTTGAGGTTGTGGTTGGTGGTATGCCCCTAGTGCCACTCATATAAATCACCCCTTTTCTATTGGGTGTTTTAATAGAATCCTTACTTAAGTGCTTTGATAGAATCCTTATTCAAGCCTCTTTTGACTGTAACACATTGGTCGATATTAGTAACATCCTCAAAACAGGCAACAGAAATTTGCAAGAAAAACAACACCTAATCTACAAAGTGATAGCACGATATCAAGTTTCTCTGAAGCAAAAAAATCATTTTAAACCAAAATTTACTTCATACATCTAATCGTTTCCCTTCATGCACATGATGGTTCTCATCTTGCATATATTCATTTAGATCAACAAAAAAGCTCAGGAGTGAAGAAAAAGGAAATGGAAAAAAAAAGAAACGAGAGAGAGAGAGAGAGAGAGAGAGAGAGAGAGAGAGAGACTTTCTTCACTAATAATAGCTTGATATCACTAGCATCCTCGAGGCAGGCAACATAATTTCAACAACAACACTACCTAATTTACGAACAATACCACATCATCAGCAGTACTAACTTGCTCTCAAGAATTATCATCACATAAAAAACAAAATTAAGTTACATACCTAATCAAAAAACAAAAAGTCTTCTTTAGGAAAGAACTAAAGGGAACAAAAGCTTTTGTTAGTTATGGAAGCCATTTTCTTTTGGGGCTTCGACCTTGACATCGAAGTCGTGATAAGGAACCTCACTCATGGGTCTAGGAATTGGACGGCCTCCGAAATCTTGTGGAAAAAACTCAAAATTTGGACCAAAATTGAATCTCACTTCGCAATTAGGTTGATTGGGCATTGTGTACATTGACGCTGCTGGATAGTACCTTCCACCGGAGATGTCTTTGTACGCAACACCTTGACATACTCCATTCTTGAAGAAAGATATCTCACTCCCTGCATCAGTATTCTTATAGTTTTATTATGCAGGCATCGACAGAAACAAATTGCCGAAAAAACTACCATAAACTTTGCTAAACTACCATGTCTAACAGCAGGATGGATAAAAAACATATTTTGGACAATGTGCCCTTATGTACTTTATGTGTCTTCTACATTTCCCTCTACCCATCTAATATGTTGCAACAATTTCCAATAATTCATGGTATTTTTCTGCAATTTTGATCATGGCTTTTTTTTTCCTAATACAAAGCTTATGGTGATTTTGTGCAAAAAACCAGAGTTCATGGTAGTTTAGCGAAGACTGAGAATTATAAGTTCTGAAACATGTAAGAAAATTTATTTTTATGCATGAATATGAAATTTTCATAAATCTAAAGGGACACTCCACCGTAATTCAACCTTGTTCTTAGAAATTAATGCTCTACCGTGTTGCACAATAAATCCAAGAAAGAGGAGCTTTCTTCAATAGTAAGCTAATTTGAAATATGTATTTAAAATGAAAAAAAAGTCACTTTGAATATTGAAGAAAATAGAGATTAATAAACATTTATAACTTGTAAACATGAAATAATTGACTGCAATCAGCATTAAGAAAGTCTGTATTCAACAGTCATGTAAAACAAATTTATATCATTATATTACATCAAATAGATTATTCCTATGAAAAGCAATATAAATACAGGGCAGCTAACATTTTAATAGACATGTTTGAGAACAAAATTCTTTCATTCCTATTTAAATTATATTACTATCAACAAGGAAATTAGCCATTTATCCAATTAAACTAGTAAAGACAGTTTTCAGGACAATCATAAAATTTAAACCACAACTTATACTACCCAAATTCCCTTCAGTTTTAAATTAAGTATGTCCCTCTTTCCTAACTTTCACGCTCAAATATAATCTCCTTCTCATCCAGGACCTAACCAGATCATGTTGCACATTACGTACCCTATTTCTAAATATCTATTGACTTTCTTCAAACACATTCTGCAGTGATGAACTCATTCTTCTTCTCCCCTCTCCAGCTTTTGCAACATATATATTCTCTCATCAGAGACACAATTTCTGTTTTCTTAGGCACATTATAGTTTTTATTGGCCATATTTTTAAAACCAGATAAAATAATATTATTCCCATGTCATAAAATTACCAATTCATATAACCACAACAGAAGTTATTAATGGCATGCATCACGTGTAGATCCAATGTAACAAGATTATCTATTCTCCTTTTTCTTATAGTAGATCGAACATATGTCAATAGTGTCATCCATGAACTCTAGATTACTACTATTGATATTGTTCAACAATTTTGCTGATAGTAGCACGATTCTTTCGCTTTCTAAGAATTTATCCTGCATGGAGGGTCCGTATTCTAAATTCATATCCCTTCTTGAGTAGGCTGCCTTTGTTTGCAGTAGAATTAGAAAATACCTATAAGAAAACCATTCAGCATCATCTTATTAAAATATATATATATATACTTGTGCGACTAGAACACTTTTTACTATCCAAAAAATACACGTCTAACTTGACTCCCATCTTGAAACAAGCTGTACTTACCAACAAAGAAGGACTTCTGCCTCTAAAGTTCTCAATCTGTTGAGCTATGGTCCAAAAAAAGCACATAGAAATAGCAAATCACTGATTATTAAAGCTCATAACAGTTGAAGTTTCCAAACCTTTGAAGTGCTACTTCCTGGACATGTTTTCCCACACCAATCCTGTTGAGTCTATGCCCATAGCCAGAGCATGTAAGCTCTAACTGATTTAAGCCTACCCAACTTCTAAAATAGACAAATGAAAGCTTGAAAATACATGATACGTTTACACTAAAAAAAGGCTAATATTGATATTTGGCACTAATATTTATCTTATATGTGATCAACAAATGTACAATTCATTACATTCAGTAGTTAATATTCTCTCCTGATTCAATTTCACCAGGTTACGACCCTCTAGAAGAAGTTATGTTTGCAGTACCACTATCACTTCCGCGGAAAGTGAATTTCCCTAGATGCTATTGGGAACTTCACCTACACTGTTACAGTGCTGAAGAAGATTACTGAACATTTAAGAGGATTATACGTATCATAAGAGCTGGTGTTTGTGCTAGTATATTGGCGAGGACATTCTATAATCATCTCTTAATGTTGCACCTTGCATAACTTCGCTAGGATATTGGCGAGGATATTCTTGGACGTTTTGATTGGATACAAGCGATATACACAACTAAAACACAACAAATGGAACCAAACAACTCGACATTACCACAATCAATGCAATAAAGATGAAAAATAAGCATGCCAATCCACATTCCACTAAAATGTAAGAAACAGCAACTCACCGGGCACAACCTTCGGCCCCTCTTCTTCCTTCTTCTCCGTGGAACCCAAACCCCTCCCCGCCTTATACCAATCCAAAAAATGCAGCCTCCTCTCTGGCACAAACTTCCCCCCATCCGGCAGACTTATATAAAACCCAATCACATCCCCCTCCCCATACCCCTCGTCCCCATACCTCTCCCTAAGTGCCCTATGCACCTTGCTCCCCTCCAGATCCCTATACCCATAGCTAAACCCATCATACCCAACCGGCGCTTGAAGGTCCCCGTTCTCCGTCGCCCACCCGAGCCTACAATGCCCGGTGGGCCCGAGATGGGCAATCTTAATTTCGAAGAACCATTCGCCTTCGGCGACCCCACGAGTGGCCCGCACCATGCGGTAGCCCTTGGAGCTTCCCGCGGTGAGGCGGGTCGTCAGATAGGTTCGACCTTGTCGGCCTTGTAAAGGCGGAGGAGGGAGGACGGGGAGGTCGGGGTGTCGTCGGAGAGGCGAAGGGGGTTGGTCGGTGTCGGGGTCAAGAAGGGGGTCTTGTGCGTGGGTGGGAGGAGGGGTAGCGGAGGAGGCGGCGGGTGTGGTGTGGATGACTTGGGTGTGCTTCTTCTTCCTTTTCGGGAGGTGGGTTTGGTCCAAACGTTGTTGGATTTCTTCTTGGGTCTCTTCGAGGGGGGCTGGGGGGTGAAGAGGGAGATGGGCTTTTGCTTCTTGTTGGGTTCGGGTTCTTCCATGTCTTCGTCGTCGTTGTTCGCTTCTTCTTGGTTTGGGGTTGGGTTCGGGGTTGGGATTGACGGGTTTGGGCTGGGTTTGAGAGGGGATGGGGGGACTTGATCGAGGGCGTCGGAGAAGTGATCGTCTTCTTCGTCTTCGACCGGGGTGGAGACTGGGAGGGTTTCCATTGGGAAAAGAGAGAGGGGTTATAATGGGTCAGATTCAGGTTAATTGGTAGAAGAGGGAGAAGGGATTTTGGGGGAGGAAGGAGGAGGGGACGTGTGACTTTAGACAGGGAAAAAATAAATAAATAAATAAATAAATAATAATCATCTACTCTTTAAAAGGGAAGTTCAAAATTTTTTCCTCCCCAAATTAACCTTCCACCACTTTAAATATACCAAGCTTATCCTTATAATCGTTATAAACATATTTCATCATCATCATTGGAAATCCAAAGCCGTAAGATTTTCGTCGGTTAGGTCTTTCTCTCTGCCCACCAGTTCATCGGTTACCCTTCTTC